GAGAGCAAAGGCGACAGGCAGATCAGGCGATATGGCGCGAGAAATGCAAGAAAGTCCTGGCAACTCCTTGCCATTGTCGTTCCGTTGTTAATGACATGAAATGGATAAAGCTGCTGGCTGCCGACTTTCGCCGCCTGCAACTGACGCTGATATGGCCCTGCTGAAAGCCAACAAGCAATTAAGAAGGCAGCTGCTTAAAGGCCATCTCCGAATCTGGATGGGAATGGGAATGGTATGGAATGGTATGGCATGGAGGTGTGAATCGGCAGCTGTGCCAGTTAAACAGCTGCATCGACTGGCAGACTCCCGAGGGCCATGCTCACTTATGTGTATACACCGACTTGTGCCACAAAAGAAACTTAATTGTTTTTCCCTTCATGCCCCGAGTGTTTGCAGTGAGAGCTGTTAATTGCTAAATGGTTGGATAAATATGATAATGGCCATTGCTTAAATGTGCCAGACAAATCAATAAAATACAGAAACACTAGCAGCCTTGAAGGACTATTTTTGGAAAGAAACTGAGGCAGAAGGTCTTGACTTGCTATATATAAAACATATCTCTAATGGAGATATAATGTTTAAGATTATGATATATCTAGTAAATATAAACAATTTCTTGAAAGATTTAAAAACCTTAGAAAAGTATTTAGTGTTAACCTAAAGCAAAGTCAAAGGAACCTTTTTATTCACTTTAATTAATTAATTAAACTGCAGTTCATTGTAAATGTAGATGAAAATATATCACTCTAGCAGCAAGAATTTAATTACATTTTCATTGAAATACTGCAGAGTTTTAATCAATTACTAAATGTCATTACCTTCATTTACCTTTTCTTTAAACAACAACCTTATCCATTACGTTTTGCACCTGGCTTTTGTATGCCTGCAGCTAGGTTACTTTCCATTGCAAAAAGTTTTTCCATCAGTTAGGAAAAGGAATTTGCAAATTGCCTTGAGCAATCGATGGACACCATGTTCAATTTACTAGCTTCGTGTCAGATGTCTATTAATTAGATGAGCTGGCACTTGGCATGGTTTTCATATTTACTGGCATATTGCCTTCTGGAGAGTGTGAATGCAGCAAATCGGTGACATTTCTCATCATTTCAATCTAGCCAGGACCCCTCGATTCCCGTTGCATTTGTTGGTCAACAAGCTCTTGGCAACAGAACCGGCGTTCATTATGGTCTTGTTTTCTTTGGCAGCCCTGGCTTTTGCCTCAGATTGGCTTAATTTGGTTTCAGCTTGACTTGGTCCGGTTGGAGCCTGGCATTTATTATGCTGCTGCTGCCCTCAAGGACACCGAAGGCAGCAGGCGGCTTTTGCAGGCAAAACGCCCACAAAAATGTTGCCCGGCATCCGAAGGATGTGTTGTATGTTTGTGTTTGCCTTTTGCTTTGTATGTTTGGCACACAAAGTGTCATAAATTAATTCTGTGTGTGGGTGTGCCTTTGGTGCCTTTTGTTCAGTTTGCTGATTTTGATTGCAAAAATTGTCAACATTATTTCATTCTCAGATGCATTAAAGTAGAAAATTAATTAACAAAATATTTCAAGCAGATAGTTCTGGCAAAAGTTTAAAGAGATTTGAAAGTAGAGAAAAGTAACTAAGAAATATTAGAAATATAATCAAATTAGTGCAATAATCTTTTAAGAAATCATAGAACACAATTTAGCTGCGGTTCAAGCTTAATTCAAAGAAATTTTCCCCAAGATTTCCACTAGAAAACCTTTAAGAAACCTCCCCCATCAACTGGGAATTCTCACTTAAATATACAGCGGCTTTGCTACCAATTAAATGAAATGGAATATATATAGATATAGTACTTTCGAGGGAAACTGCAGTGGAGAGTAAACGATTCGAGTGGAGCTCGATGATGCGAATGATGCTCAAGTGGATTCTAGTGGCGATGCCACTGACAGCGAGTTCTGTATCCCTGCAACCAGGCTTGATGAACCGTGCCGGAATGCCTCAAAGCGGCCAGAAATCCTTGAAGCAATTTTTTAGCTTTCTGTCTTTTTTCCCTTTTGTCTTGGGGAAAATACCTCAAAAATGGTCTTGGGCAACAGCAATTGAAATAGTCGACAGTGGCCTTGCTAATGGAGCAGGACTATCGCTGCCTTTTAATCAAGACCATTGCAATTTGAGGCGCGACTTTAGATTAATCCATTTGACAGCGCCAAGGCTGCATTTATTTTGATATTTATGGCCGGCTCCCTTTTTCACTCGCTGTGCCGCGTAATTGCACAAAATCCTTTGCTGACACAAACACACAGACATGCTTTCAATTGTTACATCACGAGAACTTGTTTGTTAAGCTTTTCGCCCTAAGCCTGCCTCCTGCGTCGCGTTTTTCTGGCCGAGCATTTTCCGAGCAACTTTTTCACTGTTTGTCCCAACGATATGTAAAATGCGTGGCTTATCCGGATTACCGTATGCTGTGAAGCGTACAAACATTAGCACAACTCTCTCCCTATTTTTTTGTATTTATTTTTTTCTATTTTGGGAAAGGCTAACACACAAATAGCAGAGCTGATTTTTAAGCGTTAAAAGGGGGCTGGAAAAAAAGGAAAAGTGGATTGAAATTTACCAGCAATGTTAAACCATTTATTTGGTTACTTACTTTTCAATTTGGAAAGCTAATAAAAGCATGAATAATATTTAAATAAATAAAGACCTGTGTAAAAATAAAACCAGCATAACACGAAAGGGATTTTAAGCTTCCACTTGTAAATAATTTATATAAGTTGTGTTAAAATTAATAACTATCCCCAGATGAATTCCTTTCTTCTGCAATTTTTTGCAAATAAAATATCCTTGCCATAAATAATATTTTCAGCAGTTTCTGGCTAGTTCCGTGGCCCAGAGCTAAGAAAAGCCCTCAATTCGAGCAATAAACTCCCGGGGAGACAAATATTTATGACCCTGCTGAACTCCGAAATATTTCTCAGCCCAGGGCCTTAGCCAGGCAATTACTCTTTTTTGCTCCAGTTTGTCAAAGAGATTCTTCTTCAGCTGCTTTGTTAGTTGCCGAGGAGTGGCTCTTGAGCAATGGTCGCTCATTAATTCAATTGTTTTGGCAAAATCAGAGAAAGAAAAGCGAAATTGGCCTCGGTTTTTTGTTTGTTTTATTGAAGTTTATTACTAAAATTTTAAATTAAAATGTTATTTTGGAAATACATATACCATATACATATACAATTATTATTAGTGTTGTGTAATCGCAATTGGGAATTTCCCTTCCGCCTTTCCTATATCATAATTTCCTTTGCTCGCTCGTCGGATGAGAATGTAAAATGAAATAATTGCATTAAATGTAGCCAAAGCAGACACTATGGTTGACATTTTAATTGGCAAAATGTCAAATATAATTTATTTTGTCATATATGCAGTAATATAATTAAATGAAAATGCGATTTACTCATTTTATTAAGTGGGGAAAATGTTAATCATATGCAAATTATTCGATAGTGAGCATTAAATACGAGTACACAAGCTGCTTTGGTTTTTAAGGAACTAACATTTAACATTTTTTATATGTTTAATCGTTTCTCTTTTTTTTTGCATATTTCACACGTTTTTTTGTTTTTTTTTTTTTTTTTTGCTTTAATATAGTGAAAGCCCTTAGACCTAGACTCTATTTTGTTGTATATATATATATATATATATATATATAGCGTATGCATTGTTTCTTCATATATGTTTTTTGTAAGTATTAATTCTTTAAAATATTATTATTGTAAATAATTAAAAATGGAATCGCGTAAGTGCTCTATATAAGAAAATCGTTAAGAACTTTCATGGTAATTCACTTGGGTTCACTAAACTCTCGATAATTCTAAATAATTCTATTAATTAGTTTTGTTTCTTTCATTTTTTGTTACCTACGCTATGCCGAATGGTTTTGTCTCTATCCGAGCTAGATTTTTTGCTACAAATACTTTCTGTTTTGTGAATATCAATTGATTTATATCGTGTTGCGGTTTTAGTTTTAATATTTAATTTAGAATCTCATGAACAGTGAGTGAAAATTTGTTCGATTTTCGTTTAGTGTTCGTTACTATTATTCATAATTCGTATTGCCTTAAAGTGACACACATGTTCACATATGTTAATAAACATTTTTGTTTTATTTTTTGTTCAAGGAAAACATCATTAGGTTATTAGCTTAAGGAACAACATATAATCTTTGGGGGGTACCAGCAAATATTACTGTCACAAAGTGCAAAATCACAGACCCCAAAATAAACTCACTGTGACTTTGACATTTGCGTAATATTTGCGGACCTACTAAGGTGGAAATTATAAAGCAAAACACTAAGTGAAGCCGGTTTTTATTTAGTTTTGTTTTGCTTTCAAGCATCGCTGGATATTTGGATCCTAATTAATTTCTACGTTCTTCGTTTTTTAACCTTAGGTGTACATTAGTATGTCCATGAAATGCATTCAACACGAATTCGGTGATATTTATATATTTGGTTTCCCCTTTTCTTTAATATGATTGCGATTCTTATGTACTTTTGACAGCTGGCATTATATCTCTTACAAAAACACTAATCTTCTTTGTGTTTTGTGTTTTTCCTCCAATTTAATAATTATTTTAACACGATTTAAGTAGTAATTTGGCATTGCAATTGTTATTTTGTTGTGAATATGAGTTAGTTAAGCTGCTGGGCGACCTCGCACCCCTATCGTTATCGTTATCATTTTTCGTTTCTGTTTTGTATCTTTTATTTTTATTTTTGGGAAGACAGTCAGAAATACGAAGCCCAAAGTATTAACAGTAAATATATGGCAAAATATACATACATTCAAATGTGTATAATTTATAAATTTTACACCAAAAAAAAACAGATTCAAATGCTACATTTTTGTTGAGTAACTTTTCAATATCTCTTTTTTAGTTTGATTAGGTCCCGTTCACAGAATTTTGTTTGTTATATATATAATTGGTGTAACCAAAAAATAAATGCTAAAGTGGAAATTTTATACATTTTTCTTTGCTGAAATTATTATAATAAAACAATATTAACTGAAAAGTTAGAGTTAAGAGTTAGTAAATGAGTTCGAGGACCACTTAACGCCGCGTATTCCAGAGATCGGCGAATGTGGGCCAGGCCATCGAAACGAAGGGCAGGGCAAACAGGACGAGGGAGTAGGCCAAATGGTTGCCCGAATTACAGCCATCCTCGGTGCAGCAGTATGTTTGGGTTTCCCAAATTTCTATGGAAACAATTCGAGTAAAATTTAATTAATATTTCATTATTTATTAACCAAAAGGCAAATGTCAAAAATCAATTTATTTTGCGGTGGACTAATAATGATGCCCAATTACATGCTTCAATTAGCTTATTATTTTGATTTTGTGGTTAGCCTAAAAGCCTGATAAATAATGCTTTCACTTACCTTTCTCCTGGCACTCGGTGGCACAGTCACGAACAGTCGACAGCTCACTGACGTATTTCTGTAACAAAAAACAGCAACAAATATATAAATATAATATATATTAAATGACTCACTTTTTTATGGATAAAAAGTTCATTAAATATCAAACAAGTCCAACTGACAGAGCCATAATATAAAAATCTATTGGTCAACAGTGCGTATGAATGTTATTAAGTTCATTGGGTAAACGCTTGTGAATAGCTTTCCCGATTCATATTAAAAAAAGGTATGTATACGGAACTCATTCATATATTAAATATGAAATTATTTCTGTAATACATTACATATATTATAAATATTTAACTTGGCCAGCATAAGCCTTCACGGCGTATACGTAATAAACCGATTAAAAGCGAAACGAAAATAATACACATCAAAATATAGCGATTAAAGTGTCTTCGGTTTAATTTTCAATTATCTAAAATATATATAAGTTAAGAGTTTATCAATAAAACATGTAATATTTCCATTTTGCAAATAATGCAATTAATTTCCCATTTAATTTGTGCAGATAAATGTCATTTTGCTCCAAATAACTGCAATTATTTTCCTGAATTTAATAATTTATCGGGTCAAAAGCAGCTTGTAGTTATTTTTTTACACCACTCCTGGCAGAATATAAACTTAAAATAACCGCAAGGCAAGACAAAACCAAAACCACAGACATTTATAGGACTAAACATAAAAAATTTTACGACAGTAATTCGGACTGTGTGAAAGAGGATTAAAAATCACAAGAAACAAAGCAAAGGTTACATGGAGATAGGGGAATGGTTTTTGGGCCATAAAGTTGGCCATCCCATTCAATATGAGCGCTTATCCTGATAAGTAGGTCATAAGTAGGTTATCTGGCTGACCCAAGCAGATTTCAATCTCCCCCCTTAAAATAACCCTCCATCCATACCAGTTACCAGCTTTGATGTCTAGGTAATTCCGTAAGTATACTCTAAAGGAATTATTTATTTTACTCACACACTCTCGGCTCCGTTAGGTTTATTGTAGTCTAAACCACTTTTGATGCTCTTTTAACGACGGCTTCGTGAGTTCAACTGGGGTTCAGGAATAAATAAACATAAAACACATCGTACTACGACTTGGTAATGTACTTGCAAGTTGCACACAAGCTGCTTTTTAGCATATAGTATATATATAGGAGGTGTTAAAGTTTACGACAACATGAGCCTGGGACACTAAACACACACAGATAACATACGGGGATGGCAAGGACATAAACTGCACACGAACAACAGAACCGTAAGTCCTTGCAAGGAAATTGAAAAATGAGACGCCCCTAAGTAGGCAACACATTTCAGCAGCGCCAACGCCTTGCGGTCCATTAAGCAAATAATAAACATGTTCAATAATTACCCAGGAGTGCGAACTCCAGCCGCAGGACTATAACAACAATGCACCTGCCACTGGCTAGCTGCAACCTGCAACGCAGCAACCCTGCAACCCTGCAACTATCAGACCAGCAATGTGTTCCGCCCGAGGGATAGGCAATACAAAACACGTGTTCACAACAGGAGGCCGCAAGGATACAGGCTGGAGCAGCGCGGCTCCTGCGGAAGGCAGTCAACCGTGGCGGCTTATGGGGCACTTAAACCGCTTAATCGATTGAGTCTGGGTGTCGGGGAGTCGGGAATGGGCCAATGTGCAACAATCCGAGTCCAGAGAGCCCCGGCTAAGCCATTCCGCAGCACTTAACGACTTTGCGTGCTCACCGACCATTTGTAGGAGCATTTTCGCTGCAGAGCTGCAGTGCCAGGACATCTGCAGCTGGCATCCTGTACCATTGGCAGCTCATTGTTTATGTAACAGGTCCTGCAATGGTGACCGCTTTAATGGATACTACACAAAAAAATGTATATAAATAGAAGCAGTGATACCAACAAAAGAAACTGTTGAACGATTGAGAGATTAAATTAAAAGAGAATCATTTAAAAGAGAGATTCAATTAAAAAGGTTTAAGGAAAATGAAATCAATTTATAAAGAATATAATAAAATTAATTAAAAGCTATTATATTTGCTGAATTATACTTTTCTTTCAGTGGATTATTCTGCTCTTTGCTAGATACCAAATGTTGTCTTATTAAAATGAGATGACACCTAACTAAGGCAATATATACTATATGTATGCTCGCTCTGCGTTTTCCCTGGCATTGTTTGTGCATAATTTGTGCCGCATATATTCTCGGTGTCGGTGTAAGTAACCCAAGGAAAACAACCCCTCCTAGGAGCACCCAAGGGGGCGTCGAAAGGGTAAGCTCATTATGTTATGCGATGGCACAAATGCGTTTGGCCCCAGTCTAGTCTGGCCCAAATGTGTGGCTGTGGGGCTAAGTAATGTGGCTAATATAGATAATGTGTGGATAATCACATGGGACAAGCATAAGATGGGTCATATTACCAAATATGTTAAGGGGTTAGATAGTAGTTGCTGAAATCCTTTTGGCAGTTAAGTTATGTAGTTGGGGAACTGTTAAATAATGCAAATAAATGTACAAATATAGGAAAGATTACATAGTTTTAGTAAGTTTATAATTTTACAGGTTTGGTAAGCTAGAACTTGAAGAGATATATAGTTATAGTTTATTATAATTCCATTTGAAGGGAAAATATATTATGCAATCAGCTGATTTACCACCAAAATGCCAACAAACTTAATTTCCTTTCGCCTTACCGTAAGCCTCATCTCGACCATCTTCAGTGACTCACTTGCAGAGATTTATGCATCTGGCCTAGTTTAAAAATGTGAAATGCGAAAAGCAACAAAAAAACAAGGAAAATGTGCCCACTGGGTGGGCGTGGGCCATGGTCTGTCGAGCACGTCGACCAAAATGCAGCTCGGCATGTTATTTGGTTGTTAGGGCAAAAAGTTACGGGGCCACCAAAAAGAAGAAAACACGAAAAACGTTGAGCAGAGCAATAATCTTGAGACAGGCGGCAAAAGGAAAAGTTCCTGCTCTGGCTGTGCTACTTTCACTTAAGCCAGTTATATCATCTCAGCTTAGTTGTGATTTGAACAAGCGAAATAGCCCCAGACCCCTTTTGCTCTAACCCACCCTCAACTTGGCCAACTCGGGCAGACAGCAAACTGATGACGACGTTGATGATTTCAATTTTGCATGCGAGTGACAGCAAAATGAGTAAAAAGGGACCTCAGAGAAAGAAGAAAAAAAACTAAGAGACGCAAGTTGCAGGCGGCACAAAAAGAGCTAAAAGTGGTAATGACAGGAAAAGTACTGCCAATGGAAAAAACGAGGAAAATATAAAAAGGAAAGAAGAAGCCAGGATAAGGGTAGGCCGAAATACCCTCAGGACTATTAACTTTCATAATATTAACTAGTTTTATGTTTACTTTTAAAGACAACAAATGTTTTTTCTATATTCCTAAATTTGTGCAGATCCTAAATATCCCTTAAATATTTCAAAACTCCATTATTAGTTAACGTATAACATATTTTATGCTATATATCTTTTCCGGAACTTCTGGCAAATAACTTTTATGTGACGATGTTCAAGTATTATTTATGGGATCGTAGATGACTCCTCTCCATTGGCCTGTAAGCACCATAATACCCTCCATCAAGGGTATAAAAATGAAGATGGAATCGAGCAAAACGACCCACAACGTCATCAGTAGCAATGGCAACGTGGCATTGTGGCCATGTGAGAGTGTGTATGTGTGTTGGCAGGTTGCAGGCAGCATTCACATCATCCTGGCATCGTCCTTAAGCCATTTATGAAAATTTCAAGTGTTCGGGGCCAGAGGGCACTGAGGGCAAGATGTCGGCATCTTAATCTCAAGAGGAAGATGATGATTTGCCTCAAATCATGTGTGTGCTCCTTGGATGTGCCTGCAGATGTGGCTCTGGTGCTGTGCTCATGTCCTTAATGTCGGAATGGGCTGGGACTAATGCAAGCTTATCCTTATGCATGCACTGGAATGATGCACAATTTTTCACAATTTCTATATAATAACTCAATTGAGATTGGCTTCAGGATAATGGCATCTGACTGGGAAATCACGGAGTGCCATATAAATATAGAAACTAGACTCGTTTTCAAAGAGATGAGAAAGCCTTTAAGAGAACTAAAATGTATATTAAAGAGTCATTTAATTATTATTAAGCTGCTGTTCAGCTTAAACAACGAGGATGACCTCGTTAAAATTTCTTTACTAAGCTCAATAAATCCTTTCCCATCTGCCTGTCATTAAAATCATCAACGAATCTGGTCACGAACTCGATTGTGAAATCCACTTCAGCATTTTGGAGGCGCCACAGTTGTGACATTAATTACAAAATCGTGACTTATCAAACGGCAAGCGGCATCTGCACTGAAATAATGCAATACGGATTCGATTTAAAGTCACAAACAAATGAATTATTCAAAAGGATCTGATCTCCCTCTCCCTAAAAACTCTTTAATTCAATTTCAAAATGCAATTTCAGGCGTATAATGAAAGAAAGCGATAGAGTCAGTCATGTGAATGCCAAAGAAATGCAATGAGGCGCAAAAAACAAAAAGTGATGGAAATCTGGAAACGTTTGGAAAATGAACGGGAAAAAGAGATGAATCAATGAGACAGTTTTTCCCTTTTGCAGAGCAACGTTTTGGGTCTCATATGCATTTTCCCAAGCATTGCCTTCAATTATTAAAGCCAAATTGTTCCCAGGTGTTGTGACAGGCGCAAAGCCATCGCATCCAATCCCAATACCATTCCCCGGAAGCCTTGAGCTCTCGCTTCAGTGGCCACATTGAATGGGCACAGAAAGTTACTCTACATCATAGTGTGCTCCATTATCAAAATGCAATTTCATCAATGCCGGGTCTTTGAGACCTCAAAAAATCCGGCCAGCCAAAAAAAAAAAGAGAAAAAAAAAGAAAATGTTAAAATGTCTGAAATTTGATTTTGCCTCCAAGAGTGAACGATGCACTCTGCCATGCAGGCATCAGCTTTCAACAGTGGCTCAGTGTAAATCCCGAGACCCAGGGAAGCCACACTTTAAGAA